TGGTTTGAGGCACACCGTATCATGGTTTGAGGCACACCGTATCATGGTTTGAGGCACACCGTATCATGGTTTGAGGCACACCGTATCATGGTTTGAGGCACACCGTATCATGGTTTGAGGCACACCGTATCATGGTTTGAGGCACACCGTATCATGGTTTGAGGCACACCGTATCATGGTTTGAGGCACACCGTATCATGGTTTGAGGCACACCGTATCATGGTTTGAGGCACACCGTATCATGGTTTGAGGCACACCGTATCATGGTTTGAGGCACACCGTATCATGGTTTGAGGCACACCGTATCATGGTTTGAGGCACACCGTATCATGGTTTGAGGCACACCGTATCATGGTTTGAGGCACACCGTATCATGGTTTGAGGCACACCGTATCATGGTTTGAGGCACACCGTATCATGGTTTGAGGCACACCGTATCATGGTTTGAGGCACACCGTATCATGGTTTGAGGCACACCGTATCACACCGTATCATGGTTTGAGGCACACCGTATCATGGTTTGAGGCACACCGTATCATGGTTTGAGGCACACCGTATCATGGTTTGAGGCACACCGTATCATGGTTTTTGAGGCACACCGTATCATGGTTTGAGGCACACCGTATCATGGTTTGAGGCACACCGTCATGGTTTGAGGCACACCGTATCATGGTTTGAGGCACACCGTATCATGGTTTGAGGCACACCGTATCATGGTTTGAGGCACACCGTATCATGGTTTGAGGCACACCGTATCATGGTTTGAGGCACACCGTATCATGGTTTGAGGCACACCGTATCATGGTCTGCGGCACACCGTATCATGGTCTGAGGCACACCGTATCATGGTCTGCGGCACACTGTATCATGGTTTGCGGCACACTGTATCATGGTTTGCGGCACACTGTATCATGGTTTGAGGCACATTGTATCATGGTTTGAGGCACACTGTATCATGGTTTGAGGCACACTGTATCATGGTTTGAGGCACACTGTATCATGGTTTGAGGCACACTGTATCATGGTTTGAGGCACACTGTATCATGGTTTGAGGCACACCGTATCATGGTTTGAGGCACACCGTATCATGGTTTGCGGCACACCGTATCATGGTTTGCGGCACACCGTATCATGGTTTGAGACACACTGTATCATGGTTTGAGGCACACTGTATCATGGTTTGAGGCACACTGTATCATGGTTTGAGGCACACTGTATCATGGTTTGAGGCACACCGTATCATGGTTTGAGGCACACTGTATCATGGTTTGAGGCACACTGTATCATGGTTTGAGGCACACCGTATCATGGTTTGAGGCACACCGTATCATGGTTTGAGGCACACCGTATCATGGTTTGAGGCACACCGTATCATGGTTTGAGGCACACCGTATCATGGTTTGAGGCACACCGTATCATGGTTTGAGGCACACCGTATCATGGTCTGAGGCACACCGTATCATGGTCTGAGGCACACCGTATCATGGTCTGAGGCACACCGTATCATGGTTTGCGGCACACTGTATCATGGTTTGAGGCACACTGTATCATGGTTTGCGGCACACTGTATCATGGTTTGAGGCACACTGTATCATGGTTTGAGGCACACTGTATCATGGTTTGAGGCACACTGTATCATGGTTTGAGGCACACTGTATCATGGTTTGAGGCACACTGTATCATGGTTTGAGGCACACTGTATCATGGTTTAAGGCACACTGTATCATGGTTTGCGGCACACTGTATCATGGTTTGAGGCACACTGTATCATGGTTTGAGGCACACTGTATCATGGTTTGAGACACACTATATCATGGTTTGAGGCACACTGTATCATGGTTTGAGGCACACTGTATCATGGTTTGAGGCACACTGTATCATGGTTTGCGGCACACTGTATCATGGTTTGAGGCACATTGTATCATGGTTTGAGACACACTGTATCATGGTTTGAGGCACACTGTATCATGGTTTGAGGCACACTGTATCATGGTTTGAGGCACACTGTATCATGGTTTGAGGCACACTGTATCATGGTTTAAGGCACACTGTATCATGGTTTGCGGCACACTGTATCATGGTTTGAGGCACACTGTATCATGGTTTGAGACACACTATATCATGGTTTGAGGCACACTGTATCATGGTTTGAGGCACACTGTATCATGGTTTGAGGCACACTGTATCATGGTTTGCGGCACACTGTATCATGGTTTGAGGCACATTGTATCATGGTTTGAGACACACTGTATCATGGTTTGAGGCACACTGTATCATGGTTTGAGGCACACTGTATCATGGTTTGAGGCACACTGTATCATGGTTTGATTAAGTAAAATTCTCAGTCCCATTGCTTGCTACCCAACCCCTCTCCTCACGGTTTTTTGGTCTACACACACGCGCGAGCGCACACGCACGCACACACAACTAGGCAAAGTTAATATTCATCTCACTGTTTAACTCTGAAACCTTTCCATTACAACCGGAACTGACAATGGAACGCTTGATTTGACTGTTTGACCAATTTCGACAACTGGGTAGAAACCTTTATTCGTTTAACCGAAAATTGTCTGACAGCGTGTGGCGCTGATATTCCCAGTACTGTAGGTTTTTTGATGGCTACATTTCTTTTGCAAGCTAGACAAAGACTGTGTTTCACAGTTCTATTATTTGCGGTTAATGAATTTCACCAGGAAATCCTGTTTATGTAACAAACATGACGTAATCAGGTTCTGACTATACGACTCTGCAGTGGCTATTGAGAAAAGGGGGCGGGGGGCGCATAGCACATAGAGAAATGTTCCGAGTGCTCTGTCAATTTGTTTAGACATTACACAACACAGCTACACAACACAGCTACACAACGCAGCTCTCATTACGGCTAGATCGTTTGGCAGTTTTCTTGCCTAGGCAATTTTATAATCAGTAATGAGATAAAAACCGATGTCATAGTACTCCCATAAACGGTCCGTCCTTATCTTCAGCAGAAAGTTGAGATTTTCAACTTCAATCGTACCAGCAACATTCTGATTGTATGCCCGTCTTGCCCCTCCCCTGAGTGTTAAGCGCCAGCCAGATTCAGTGGTCCACTCCTCGCTGCACTATTATCTTCAGAAGGTGATGGTCCATTTGTACCTGTATTCTCTGGCTTTTCTATCTTCTTCAGAGAGTGATGGTCTAGTCGAACCTGTATTCTCTCGCTTCACCATCCTCCTCAGACAGAGATGGTCTAGTTGTACCTGTATTCTCTCGCTTCACCATCCTCTTCAGAGGGAGATGGTCTGTTTATACCTGTATTCTCTCGTGACACTATCCTTTTCAGAGGGAGATGGTCTAGTTGTACCTGTATTCTCTTGCTTCACCATCCTCTTCAGAGGGAGATGGTCTAGTTGTACCTGTATTCTCTCGTGACACTATCCTCTTCAGAGGGAGATAGTCTATTTAGAGGGAGATGGTCTAGTTGTACCTGTATTCTCTCGTGACACTATCCTCTTCAGAGGGAGATAGTCTATTTAGAGGGAGATGGTCTAGTTGTACCTGTATTCTCTCGTGACACTATCCTCTTCAGAGGGAGATAGTCTATTTGTACTTGTATTCTCTCGTGACACTATCCTCTTCAGAGGGAGATGGTCTATTTGTACCTATATTCTCTTGCTTCACCATTCTCTTTTAAAAATAGATGGTCTATTTGAAATTGTATTCTTTCGCTTCATCATCCTCTTCAGAAGGAGATGGTTCTTTGTACTTGTATTCTCTCGTTACACTATCCCCTTTAGAGGGAGATGGTCCATTTGTACCTGTATTAACTCGTTACACTATCCTCTTCAGAGGGAGATTGTCTATTTGTACGTGTATTCTGTCGCTGCACCATCCTCTTCAGAGGGAGATTGTCTATTTGTACGTGTATTCTGTCGCTGCACCATCCTCTTCAGAGGGAGATTGTCTATTTGTACGTGTATTCTGTCGCTGCACCATCCTCTTCAGAGGGAGATTGTCTATTTGTACGTGTATTCTGTCGCTGCACCATCCTCTTCAGAGGAAGATTGTCTATTTGTACGTGTATTCTGTCGCTGCACTATCCTCTTCAGAGGAAGATTGTCTATTTGTACGTGTATTCTGTCGCTGCACTATCCTCTTCAGAGGGAGATTGTCTATTTGTACGTGTATTCTGTCGCTGCACTATCCTCTTCAGAGGGAGATTGTCTATTTGTACGTGTATTCTGTCGCTGCACTATCCTCTTCAGAGGAAGATTGTCTATTTGTACGTGTATTCTGTCGCTGCACTATCCTCTTCAGAGGAAGATTGTCTATTTGTACGTGTATTCTGTCGCTGCACTATCCTCTTCAGAGGAAGATTGTCTATTTGTACGTGTATTCTGTCGCTGCACTATCCTCTTCAGAGGAAGATTGTCTATTTGTACGTGTATTCTGTCGCTGCACTATCCTCTTCAGAGGAAGATTGTCTATTTGTACGTGTATTCTGTCGCTGCACCATCCTCTTCAGAGGGAGATTGTCTATTTGTACGTGTATTCTGTCGCTGCACCATCCTCTTCAGAGGGAGATTGTCTATTTGTACGTGTATTCTGTCGCTGCACTATCCTCTTCAGAGGAAGATTGTCTATTTGTACGTGTATTCTGTCGCTGCACCATCCTCTTCAGAGGGAGATTGTCTATTTGTACGTGTATTCTGTCGCTGCACCATCCTCTTCAGAGGGAGATTGTCTATTTGTACGTGTATTCTGTCGCTGCACCATCCTCTTCAGAGGGAGATTGTCTATTTGTACGTGTATTCTGTCGCTGCACCATCCTCTTCAGAGGAAGATTGTCTATTTGTACGTGTATTCTGTCGCTGCACCATCCTCTTCAGAGGAAGATTGTCTATTTGTACGTGTATTCTGTCGCTGCACTATCCTCTTCAGAGGAAGATTGTCTATTTGTACGTGTATTCTCTCGCTGCACCATCCTCTTCAGAAGGAGATGGTCTATTTGTACCTGTATTCTCCCGTGGCGCTATTCTCTTCAGACCACCGTGATAGCCTATTTGTGCTGCATTTCCATGATCATTGTGTCTTTACTGCCATATATCCATCTGGATGACCAGTGACTGGGCCAGAAACTTTTAATGTAAAGGACCCTCTGTTTCGACGCCTAACGGCGTATTTGGGTATACAGGTAGGATAGCCATACCTCCTGTTTTCGCCAGGACAGTATCGTTTTTAGGTAGGCTCAGACCGTCCAGTCGATACTCAACATCAAGTGAAACAATGCAATTTTATTTTGTTAAATATCGACGGGACGGTCTAAGCCTACTAAAATCGATACGGTCCCGACGATATGGTCACCCTACGTATAGGGCTAAAGATAATTCTAGTTCACAAGCCCCAGTGTTTATCTGTAGCAACTACACGTGACCTACTTACTACACGTGTCGCAGCTGCAAGGACGATGTATGTTCTCTAACATTACACGTTCAATTTGTTTGCAGTTTCATGTCACGGCTCTTTAAACTACTAAAATTTGGCAAGGCTCTGGACAGTATGTTGCTAATTTGTTTTGACGTGTGGCAGCATTGCCAGTTAGGGGGCAGAGGAATGTAAACCGTGTGATGACAGTTTTAATTTATTCTTCGTGGATGCTAAATGTTGGCCACTGTGTAGTTTTTGCTCTGAAAAATAATGTGAGTTTGATGGTTTCTTAACATGCTTTAAGAAAACATACACGGGGTTGACAAGGCGTCGTTATTTTTATTTTGGATACTGCAAACATTTACATAAAACGGTAAATGGGAATAAGAAATTAACATCAGACACATTACACTAAACGGCTATCTTCCGAATAACGGTCCCAAATTATCGTGGCCGAAAACATACCCTAACAGGGCCTCAGTCACGTATCAGTTGCGGACTTCCGCCACCGCCGAGAGTATATCCTGAATTGGGGCTAAACTAGTTGGCTGGGACTTACGAGCAAATAAAAGGAAGGAAGCTGCAGGAGATGCGGTACCTGCTGCTCGTGAGTCCCAGCCATCTAGTTTAGCACCAGATACTCTTGGCGGTGGTAGTAGTCGCCGGAAGCGCGCAATTTAAGTCGCCTGAAGTCCGCCATTGACACGTGACTGAGGCCCTGTTATGGTATTTTTTCGGCCTCGATAATTTGGGACCGTTATTCGGAAGATAGCCCACTAAACCAATTATTTTAACAATGGGGCTGATAAGAACAGATATAATCAGGAATAATGTTATAAGAAACAAGTCGGCACGGACCAGTATTAAATTACTTTTCAAGACAACAAATAAAATAGTTTGTCCACTTGGAAAACATTCCTTGTGGTGCCTGGCCAAGGCAGAAGAGGACCATAAAGCGCGAAGTATTCCAAAAACATGGTGAAATATCTACAACTGTTACTAAGGTCTGGGCGACCAAAGGAGAAACAACAAGTATCTTCACACATCATGGACGGTAGCAGAAGAAGAAGATGACGATGATGAAGGAAGAGGTGAAGTAAGAGGAAGGGGGGAAAAAGAATCAAGCGATTACTGTCACCACACACACTGTCAAACCACTAGTGGGTATACTACGAGAGCACGCCCCCGCTGTGAGTTTTGTCAAAGAATAATGACTGCAGACAGATACGCAGGATCTCATTTATCACAATTAACGCAATCCAGTAGTTCTAAGATTGTTTTCTCCAGGCCACATATAGCAAGCATATTACAGGTGAAGAAGAGGAAGAAGAAGTGAAGGAAGAAGAAGAACTACAACAACTACAACAAATCGCTATTCATAAAAATTAGAGGCGAACAAATTCAATAGTAAGAATGCAGTGTCTAACCGTATTGAATTTACAAGACAAATGATAACCACAGTGGCTGATCGGCTGCAAACCACCATCCGGTGGAATTAAACGATCTAAGAACCCCTGTTGCTGACATTAATGTCCTTACCCTTGTGTTGACATCTGGCACCAGTTGAGCAAGGTCCTCTCCAGGTTTGTCTGCCCCAGATCTTCCATGACGTTTTTCATCACATCTTTGACCTAGAGATGAGAACAGTTGATGTTTGCTTACTGTCGGTAGATACAAAAGAGGAGGGGACGCTAGCCTCATAGGCGGAACACACATTCACAATAGTTCTTTTCTTTCAGTTCACCCCATTTGGGAGAATCCGAGACTTCATGGAGAGTTCCCCGTAAAGTCCAATAGTAAGGGGTGTTAGGGTGGGAAATGAGCACCAACTAACAGTAAACATTAATGCCTCTTTCAGGAGTCATTGAACGCCTCTAGCCTGCCTCTCTCTCTCTCTCTCTCTCTCTCTCTCTCTCTCTCTCTCTCTCTCTCTCTCTCACACACACACACACATATATATATACACACACCACCACCATCAGGCGTGCCGACATAAAGGAGGAGTTGGCCTTAGCCGCAACACTACGACCATGCAGTGTTGTCTAGGCAAAAAAGAAGGTTGGTGGGTGGGTGGAGGTGAGAGCTGGATTCTTAGTCAGAAGGTCATGGCTGATACTCAAATGAAGCAATATTGACAGCAACAAAAATATGGATACACTAAAACCACAGGAGCAAAACACACAACAACCTGAGTGTTCTACTATTTATTGTCTAAACACAAGGGGGTCGCCGCGGTGTAACGGCTAGACGCCTGCCTGCCGATCTGTAGGTCGTGAGCTCAGGTCCTGATGGAGCCGGACGGTTTTTTTTTTTTTGGACTTCAAAAATGACCTTGGCTTCCAGGTCGACTCAGCCTTAAATGGGTATCAGATAACGTCCTGGGAAGTAAAGGCAACCAGCGTGTTGTTGACCACGTCACCCACTGAGCGCTGACTGGTCTTAAAAAATATGGATCTAGACCTAGAACTTTCCAGCGAAGTTTACTGCCAGTGAAAGCGAAGTAGTTGAAGACGGAGGTCTGCAGCTATCTGTAACATGATAAGATTCTTTTTACCAGACGTTTTGAGTGTGGACAGAAACTTCGAAAGGAAGCTCTCTCTCATTCTCTCTCGCTCTCTCTCTCTCTCTCTCTCTCTCTCTCTCTCTCTCTCTCTCTCTCTCTCTCTTGCTGTCTGTATATGTGTGAGTGTGTGTATGTGGCAGAGGTGCTGGGAACAGGAAGCTTAGGCCACTTGAGGAAGCCGTTTTACTAATCTGGCTTATTTCTATGCAGACTGTTGTTTCCTTGAATCTCAGGCAGTTGAACTCCAACCTCGAAGGATGTCCCCAATTACTCGACTCCTACGACATGCTTGTTGTGGAGGCAGTGGATCCGTTCTTGCGTTTCCCACAATGGGGCCCCAGAACCCACACCGGAAGCTGAGAGGTTATTAACACAAGCTTCATAATTCAAAATATCGGGTTTCGCAGTGTCGGCTGCACGCATTTTGGCAGCAGACAGCTATGCGTTGTTTTCCACAACGTTATACACGGTGAGCTGTTACGAAAGTAATGGTTAACGCGTAAACCGTAAAACTGCTCAGTAAAATCAAAAACAGCTAACAAATACTGGGGTCGTTTCGCGACGTCCTTGAACTCTCCCTGTACCAGCAAATATACCTTTCCCACGCCTTTATAACCACATAGATCTAGAACTATATTTGGCAGATCTTTCGGCGGGTGATGTGATCAACATCAGGCAGGCCGCCTTTACCTTTCAAGACTTTACCTGATGTCTGTTTAAGGCTGGGTCGAACTGGTAGACAAGTTTGTTTTAAAAGAAAAAGTCCGGTTCCGCTTGGATTTGAACCCACGACCTTCGGGTTCGCAGGCGAACGTCAAGCCGCTACACCGCTCCCCCTCTTACATGCTGAGCACTTGATAAACAAACAGATTTGATCTATACGTAAACGAAAGCTCGACTGCGAACGTTATGAATAGGACAGAATATAAACAAGGGTTGGATTTCCCTGTTTGTATGCCAAGCAAGGAATACATTCTATAAACAGCTTTCATATCGCTGGACTCAGCTTTGACAAGCAAGGAATACTTTCGATAAACAGCTTTCATATCGCTGGACTCAGCCTGCGACTGGGAGATCAACACAAGTGGCTTGATATGCCATAAATCAGATATTTCTTCTGTAGGCAGGCAAAGGTATTTTAAGCACACAAGAGTCCTGATCAAGCAGTGTTGACGTGGTTCTTAGAGAATGCGTTGTAAGTAAAAGCTGATCAGGTCAGTTGCCGTGCTGGCAATGCTGGTTGGCTAAAATGGATCGCCAGCAATCTGTCTCTGACCGAGATGATACAGATTTGTTGCTGCTGCTTTTTTCTCCGACTCTGGTTCTGCCTCCAACTCTACTTCTTTTTCTTCTCCTCCTCATCTTCATCTTCTCCTCCTCCTCTTCTTCTTCCTCCCCCTCATCCTCTTTTTCTTCTTCGCCCTGTCTTCCTCCTCCTTCTCATCTTCCTCCTACTCCTCCACCATGCCTCCTCTAAAAAGAGAGCATCTGCTCAGAGGTAATGAATCAACAGTGTACATACAAATGTGTACATACAAATGTGTACATTACAAATAACAGATCTGAAAACAAATATGCAGCCAAAACTAAAGTTACGTAAGCAGACTGGTGTTCGGAAGTGGACAGAAAATGTAAACTTTCCGCCAGAGCTGACAGCTGGTGAACAGGACGAAGAATTCAGTCACTGAGGATTGATATGTTCAATGCGTTTGTCATTAATTTAAAAGTGGACCCAAACAATTACGTGGAAAAGGGGGGGAGGGGTGTTGGGGTGGGGGAAGGGGTATTAGGGGCGGGGGGAAGGTATGGGGGAGGGGTATTAGGGGCGGGGGGAATAGTCTAATTTTCTTATCCGGCTGCTGTCTGAAGGTTTGCTCGAATCCCTAAATTTCTGCATAGGCCGATTCTTAAATGTGAATCCTACAGAACCACTCCAAGATAGCCTGTTGAACCTTGTAAGAATTGGTTAATTCTGAAGAAACCTACCTGCCAGTGAAGAATGATGCTCCACACGAGTCCCAGAGTAAGCTTGGGGTTCCCATCGGCAATATCATTACTGCTGATGTTGACAAGCTTGATCTGTAGGAGACGAGACAAATTTACAACAGATGATTTCAATGACTTAAGATACCAGTTCTAGGTATTTACGGCCAGCAGTAAGAGAATTGCACTATGGCAGATTGGGGCTTCACCACCTAATTTTCCTAAAGACAACAATAGTATGTACACCACAGCCTATCTTCACTGTGGAGACAGCGCATAATTAAAAAGTGTAGAATTTCAATGACCGGAAGTTGCGGTAAAGCAGAGGCTAGACACTTGCCTTTCGGCTCCATGTTAATGGGTTCTTCTTCTGCCTTTCTAGCCCCCAATGGAGCATAGGCCCTCAACTAACTGACACCAAGTCGTTCTATCCATTGCTATCGCATGCAGCTCTCTTTATGTCCTCTCCATCTTTTTTATTTCCCTCTCTAGCTCCCTTCTTCGTGTGTGGGGTTTTTTTTTTTTTGGGGGGGGGGGGGGGGGGGTCTGCTTTATTTCTATGCCCCTGTGGGTTTCAGTGCAAAGACGTTCCAGTTATTCACTGGTTTTCTCAACGTATGTCCTATTCTACGCCAGCGTCTTTTCTTCACTTCTTGGTCCATTCGAACCTTCAAATTCCCCATACGGGTTCCGGGGTCCCATTTTGGGGAGGGGGGAAATGGACCCACTGCCCACTAAAAAGAATGTCGTAGAAGGCAACTAATCAGTGTGTTTCTTCCAAAGTCGAAGTGCATCTGCCTGAGAGACGAGGAACTAACAGTCTGCATTCAAATGAGCCAGATGTGTAAAACATATTTACATGCGAAACTCAACTTCTAGAACAAGACCAGTCCAGAAGTGGACGAACAACCTGAACTTTCCGCTGTAGTTTACTGGAGGTGAACGCGAAGACGATGAATAACAAGAACCCTCAAATGGGTGTTTCCTTTCTTTAAATAATGGCATAGGCTTTCCAGAGGCATTAGTTAACGACAAGTACATAAATCTAGGCCCACAGATAATATCTGACGGAAGATGTATCACAGAGACTAAGAAACAGAATAGGACAGGCCACAACTGTATTTTACAACATAAACTAAACCCCTTTTCCACGTCTTTAGGCGTATTGGAAATATAGGGCTAGACCTATATTTTTATAGACCAATCGGCCCTTGGTGGGTGATTGGGTCAGCAAGTAATCAAATATCATATTAGTTTGATTTGTAACGGCAGATGCACAAACTGCTTGTGAAAATAAAAATGTCCTTGGAGAGAGAGAGAGAGAGAGAGAGAGAGAGAGAGAGAGAGAGAGAGAGAGAGAGAGAGAGAGAGAGAGAGAGAGAGAGAGGGAGAATAAGAGAGAGAGAATAAGAGAACGGCTGCGTTGAAAACTAAATTCAGGACTGCAATTATTACAAAGATCTCGGGGGACTGACCCGTTACTCTGTGGTTCGTTAAAAACATTTAGAGGAAGAAGAAGAAAAAAACGTAAGAAACAAAAACGTTCATCTTCAGTTGTCCCATTATGAATATCAGAAAATATCGGCACAAACTTATATCTCTCAATTATAAACAATTACCAGTATTTATCTTTAACATTCGACCGTTTTCTATCCTCTGTTTATCATGTTTATTAACAGTCAAGTTTATCACGTGAACCTGATTGTCGGTGTAAATCAGAAAACGAACACAAGAAGAAGAAGAAGAAGAAGAAGAAGAAGAAGAATATCTACATAAAAGACAAGCAAACATGATAACTCACTCGGCGTTGAAATATTATCACAATAAATTTGATATAAAAAAGAACTTGACCTATGAGAACAACTAAGGTTCTGCAGCGCTCATTCCAGAAAAATACTCGGACTAAACAGGAAATATCTGGTGTGCTCACACATGCAGAATGAACAATTGAAGAAACGAACTGAACATGCAACGGCGCATGTTCATTACTGAATGTTCATCAAACAGGTGGTGTCAAGGTTTGCTAATGGTTGCTGCGATGAGTTTTTTCCTCTCTCCATGCACGTGGTTTTCTTGAACAAAAATGCGGGATTCGTTTCCTGTGTGTTTTTATAGGTCTGTTGTTCTTGTGGGTATTTGAGCAGAGGGGAAAGTATCACGGTGATATTCTTACTCGGTGTAGTAATAGATCTTCTTCATCTACTTCTTCTTTCTTCTTCTTCTTCTTCTTCTTCTTCTTCTTCTTCTTCTTCTTCTTCTTCTTCTTCTTCTTCTTCTTCTGTGTTCGTTCTTAAGAAATTATGCTTTTATGTTGTATTCTGATTTACAATCAGGCTGCAATATCATCACCTCTCGCTTCTTAATCTGACATAAAAGGCCCAGTTCTCCATGTGGAGTGTTAAAAGCACCAGCGTGCTGAAATATACAACCCGCGACATCAACGTCATTGCGGAACACCCCCATAACCTTGTTCCAAGTTGACAGGTTCAGGAACTACCAATCAAATGTGAGCTAGTGTGTAAATGGGCGGGCCGTGGGGAGACTAACTTTAGTTTTACCGATTTCTGTTATCCGTTCATCTGGTTATCCTTTGGTTATCCATCACAGGCCTTGTCCCGACTGTGACAACCAATTTTACTACACAAGAAAAAAAAATGCGCTGCGACAATATAGGTGCAGAAACAAATTAACACGGACGGCAGCGCACTGGCAAGCCTGCCTAGATATATCCGATAAATAAACAACAATTGTTGCGATCTTCTCACGCCACGAGCATAAACACTAGTTAGCAGAAAATAATTACGCGTTATAAAATAAATTACTGCCAGTTGAAAAAAAAATTTACAGTATGCGGGAAGTCCTAATTACAAATGTGTTTTAAGCATGTTAGCACTGTATACCTGCTTCACTTTATTGTCACTGCCATATTTGGCCTCTCGGTGATCCATGGAAGAAACTAATCACTTAAGTGGTGTAAAGGATCGCAACGTTTGGTTGTCCTGTTAGTTATAATAACAGGACATTCATAAAAGTTAAAATAAAAACAATAGCTTATTATCCTGAAATGTGACTAGCGGTTTTCTAGACGGTTCTGGTTAAGTGGGGAGCTGCTGGCAGAACGGTTAAGAACGATGGGTTCTTATGCTGAAGGCCCTGGTTCGAAAACTCGGTAAGGTTGTGGACTTTTTTTTGGGGTCAAGGGGAAGTCTAACCTGCGCAGTCCGTTACGCTAGCATTAACTAAGCGGTCCTGTTTACAATTTCTCTTCTCTTTCTCCTTCCATTTATCACCAAATAGAGCACAGTGTCATCTACACCTATTAACTTCACTCTCCGGTTCCCTTCTCCACGTGCTTTTCGTCTACCATTATTTCTATGCCTCTGTGGGCTTCAATGTAAAGCCCTTTAGCTGTGTTGCTCTCATGTTTTCTTAATGTGTGTCCCATCCAACGCCAGCGTCTTTTCTTCCCCTCTTGATTCACTGGAATTTTCAACTAATATAAAGAAGTTTATTTTTCTAGTTTATTGCCTTTCTTGTCTAGCTGTTTAATCTTCAAATATGTTTCTCGTTTTCCTCTGCTTATTATTTTCCCATATAATTGTAACCGATATTGTAACTGTTTACTATTATCTGTCTATAGATGTTGTAATTTTTCCCCCCATCACTTCTCTGTAACTGTAACAGGAAAACGTACACTACAATTGTTTTCTAAACTCTATATCAAGAAAGGTACTGTTCTCTCTCCCCCCCCCCCCCCCCCCTGATAATTTCTCTGCAACTACAACGGAAAAACATACATTGTAATTGTTTTCCAGAATCTTTCTACGCCTATATCAACAAAACGTACTGTTTATTTTCGATTACCTTTAGGTAACTACAACAGGAAAACGTTTTCCAGAATCGCTGTGTATCTATCTAAGAGAATGCAGTGTTTTCTTCTCTTTTTCATAATCTCTACATAACTACAACAGAAAAATGTACAATGTAATTGTTTTCCCAGAAGCTCCATGTTACCTTTACAGAGAAACTTACATTTCACTTGTTCTCTCATATGATGCTACTTTACTGCCAAATTGTATCGTAACTGTTTTCCAATATAATGCAAATTATAATTGTTTTCCAGTATAGCTATGTTAACTTTAACAAGGAAACTTACATTGTAATTATTTTCTAGAATCTCCAAGGCTCTGTTCAAGTTATTGATGTGATGTACACGAAGTCTGCCCTTCTCTGGTTTCTGAAACAAGGTGAATAAACAACTGTAAATTCTGACACATGATTTCATAAACATCAAATCAACTCTCCCAAGAAAAGAACATGTATGTATTTAAAACCTATCAAACCATTTATGTTGAAGTTGGAGAACTGTCCGGACTGAATATCAATAGAAGAATAATAAATAATTGGACATACCGTAAAAAATGAAAGCAATGTCTCGCCGTGATAAAAACAAAGTCGACAGCCACACAATAAACTGCAGTTTATGACAAGGCATATTTGACTTTAACACGGAGTTCGTGTTAAGAAAGTTTTATCGTATTTAGAGATATCCCTCGAGGGGCCGCCATGGTGTAGCGGTTAGAGGCCCGACTGCAGATCTTAAGGTCGTGGGTTCACGTCTTGACGCAGCTGGACCCCCCCCCCCCCCACCACTCCCTAAAAAAGGGTTGGCTCCAAAGTAGACTTAGCCTTAAATGGGTGCCAGGTAACGTCCTGTGAAGTAAAGATAATGACATCACCCACCGAGTGCCGATTGGTCTATAAAATATAGGTCTAGCCCCATATGCCCAAAAGGAATGAAGCCGTGGAAAGGAGTCCTCCACTTAACTGACTCATTAACCAGACAAAACACACAACAAGATGTCCAGTACTTACAAGACTAAGTCCGCTAAGAACCTCCAGAAGTGACAGCAGTCGCTCCCCATCTCTCAGATCCACAAACAAGTCAGTGATTGTTGGCCGTTTTGCCTAAGGAGGGAAAATATGTATATATACTACCAGCTGTCATCATCATCACCATCATCATTTTCCACTTCTGCCATTAAGCGTTGCGGGAAGGAACAGTTTGCGATCCACTGCTTGATGGATAGCAATGGCTACTGTCAAGCAATGGATAGCAAACTACCATCTGTTTCAGTGAATTTTATGTTAACTTCTTCTTGTTTCTTATATTTTGTATCCTGATGTAATTTCCTGACTTTTGCTAGTTGCTTCGCTTATATTAATGTCATACTTTGATTCTGTAGTGGTTCTTTTATTCCTTCCACCCATCACATTCTTGGTCGGCCTCATGACTTGTAGCCTGCTGTTCTTACTTTGTATGCTCCAGCTGCTGGCTGGTTTTGTTCCATTCTGAGCCGATGACAAAACCATTTGCTTCTGTGATGTTCTTTCAATTCTTTAACCGGCATTGCGCCTACTATTGTTTTTAGATCTTCGTTTGTGACTCTTGTCTCTTCTGTTGTTTTTTCCCCGCCGCATTTCTTGTGCATCTGGTCTCACATGTTGTAATGTTGCTTTTATGTTTTTACTAAGAATGTCCATGTCTGACATTGATAGTACAAAGATGGTACGAATAGTAAACCACTTTCACACACAAACACGAGCGCCCGCTTGCGCAAGCACACAAAAGCGAGATGAACGTCCAAAACTGTATACCTCCCTCGTCACCTGAAGCGGTAAAACAGGAAGTGAAAAAGTAGAATCAAAATACTTCTGAAAAAAAAAAAAAAAATCGGCAGTCTCGGCGGCCCTGTGGCTAGAAAATTACCAGCCCGCATGTAGGTATGTGGTTCGAATCCTCATCAGATTCTTTATAGTTTACTTTGTTTCCCAGGTAGACGCTGATGTCTGTCCACAGATCTCGGTCCGTGGTATTTTAAATCTATTTCACAGACGATATTCCAACTTGCCATCACTTGAGACCGTCAAACCATGTTTCTCTTGGTCTGCTTCTGCCTCTTCCATCGTTAGTCTTTCCAGATGTTTTCTGATGCTTCTCTACTTATCACATGACCAAAGAACACAGACTGCAGCTTTCTTAAAGTTATATATTGTTGTCTACTTTCATTAGTCATTTTGAGGCACTCGTTGTCAATAACAATATCTAGCATAAGAATGGAGGTGGAGGCGGTCACTGCAGCCTTCCGGTGTCTAGAGAACAAGATGCACATACACATGTCATAATTGTAACAGACCGAAAGAATGCTGAGAAAGGTGAAGACATGGATGCTTCCTGCAGAGTGGCAAGCTTAACTTGGAAGGTCACCGGTAGTGAGCATAGTTTGGATATTTTCTCCAGACTATGCCGACGTGGTGAGGAATGAACAGGCAGACAGATTGCCTGGATCTGCACCAATGGGTGGTAAACTGACATATTACAAGGCATATGTGGTCAAGGCCCATTGGGAACAAGTATCAAAGTCAGAAGAGAAACTTGATAATATGGCCTGGAGAGAATGATGCCTCTGAGTGTGACCAGAGGGTCTGACCGGCTTACTACACTCAGAGGAAAGGCCAGAAGGACATATAACCACACTACGATCGGTACCAACTACGCGCTGGCTGCTGAAGATGAGGACGAAGCACAAGTGGGAATGCCTCGAGTGTTGTGATGTTAATTCCTGACTCAGCTCAACTAGTTGTTAGTCACTTTGTCTGCCCATTCTCTTCATGCAGATGACCTAGCTGTGTGGTACACCTCTGAGTTCATTGGACCTGCTATATCAAAACTCCAGGAAAGTGTGAATAGTGTCATAAACTGGGCTAACAAATAGGGCCTCGAAGTAAACAGGAACAAAACTGTAGCAACACTCTTCTCATTGTCTACAAAGGAGGAAAAGTTTACATTAAAATTCAACAATGATGCTGTTCCATGCTCCAATACTCCAACCTTCCTGGGAGTCAAGCTTGACAGTCGTCTGACATGGAAACATCACATACTAGAAACTAACAAAAAAGCTATGAGAAAACAAGGTGTGATGAAGAAATTGGCAGGCACCACCTGGGGAGCAGACAGTTGTATTTTGAAGCAGGTATACACCGGCACAGTCAGACCAACTCTCGAATACGCATCATCGTCATGGATAACAGCAGCCCATTCCAATAAACAGATACTAGACAAAACGCAAAATAGAAGTCTGCGTACAATTCTGGGAGCCATAAAATCTACACCTATTGTAGAAATGGAAAAGGCAGCCAACATCATCCCCTTAGAAGAAAGAAGAAGGACAAAAGCAATTCTACATGCTGAAAAAATGAAGAGAATGCTAAACCACCCATTACACGAAAAACTGGCAGCCAGGACAAAAAACAGAATAAAGCGCACAAGCCTAAACCATCTAACGAAGGAATTCGGAAAGTACACCTGAAGAGCCATCTTTCCATTTCTGGGACTCCGAATTATTGACACTCAATGTGTCAACATCCATCCCGAACCTGGGAAACAAAGATGCTGAGCCCGCTTTAGTGAAGAAAGCACTCACAATGGAACACCTCAACAACATGTTCCCACAGGACAGCTGGACAAGAATCTACACAGATGGATCAGCAAAAGAGGCAACTACGAATGGTGGGGCAGGTGTTTACATAAAACACCCAGATGCCACTACTGTGTCCCTAGCAGCCCCCACCGGACGAACTTGCTCTAACTACAAGGTAGAACTCTCAGCTCTATTGATGGCAGTACAGTATATGAACAATCTGCAAATCACCGCAGGCAAGATAGTTTTTCTCATTGACTCACTGTCAGCTATACAGGTCCTTGAGTCCAAACCTACCGACAGCACATAACAAAGTCTAACACAGGAACTTGCTATGCTGTCAAGTAAGGCAGAAATTCACTTGCAGTGGATTCCGTCTCACTGTGGCATCAAAGGCAATGAAAGGGCAGATGCTTTAGCCAAGGAAGGCAGTAACAAACTACAGACCTACCAGCCGCTATCTTTTCCAGAAGTCAAAACTCTCATTAAGAGAAAATCAGAAACAGATTGGAAAAACAACACTGGTTATAACTACGGAAAAGATTTTCGGAAACACTTGAACAGAACAGACCAAGTCACAGTTTTTCGCTTACGCACTGGACACTGCAGACTCAATAAACACTCACATAAATTAGGTATGAGCCAAACAGCTCTCTGCCAGTGCCTGTGTGCTGAACAGACTCCAGAACATGTCCTGCAAGACTGTCCTCTCCTGGCGGAGCTGCGGAGCGACATATGGCAACGTACATTCTACACTGTCTGTTTCACCAAGGTAACCTTAAGGAAACTACCATTTCTTTCTGCCTACATAGATCCGGTTTTAATCGGTTGATAGCATTTGTCCATACACATTCTAAGATTCACAACCAAACAGCAGCAGTGGTGCAACATAACATTTCAGTACTCTTTTTTCTTATGTTTAATAGTTTGACTACTGCAAAAAAAAAAAAAAAAAAACAATCGCGCATTTGTTTAAATTCAAAGTTAAGTATATTTGTATTGGCAATAGGTTGTTACATTCACTTTTTTGTTTTTCAGTCTAACTATACATAAGATAGTTTTTAAACACTTTCTATAAAACATGCAGATCGCACAGCAGATATTGGCAAGACAAAAGAGTGTCAGCCCTCACACTTCTTCTTCTTCGCGTTCACCAGCTGTAAACTCTGGTGGAAAGTTCTGGTTGTTCGTCCACTTCTGGACTGCAGTCCTGTTCCATAACATGAATGTTGCGTGTGCATCCGTTTAACAGATCTGACTAATTTGTATTTAGACTTTTGGTTCCTTGCCTCTCAGGCAGATACAATCCGACTTCGAAGGAAGCTCCCAATTAGTCGACTCTTACGACATGCTTTTGGGAAGGCAGTGGGTTTATTCTTGTGTTGTCTATAATAGGCTTCCGGAACTCACACTGGGAACCGTCACACTGATATGTGGACACTTAATTGTAGTAGTTTCTTCGAAGTAGTTTGACAATGGGATTTATTTGGATGTTTTTCTCCAAGTCGTTATTCATAATGCTTAAAGTTTTCTTGTTGTCATTTTTTTATTTTTTATTTTTAATTAGGGATGGTCTATGTCATATGTTCCACACGCACACACACACAGAGGGGGGCAGGGCGGCTAAAAAGGGTTGAAAACCTGTGACGAGCTGGTCTGGACAGCTGTTTCTGTCCTTTTAAATAGTGCTTTGTTTAGATAATATTATTACCACAGTTCTAAACATTTTCCTATTGCTTTTAATTAGCATAATAACACTGGATTAATTAAGAAATTTTCTTACCTTTTTCTTAATGCTTTATTGTAGCAAAATTATAATTAAATAGTTAAAAGTTAAAAAGGCGATTGGGTAGTGAAAGGGGTAACGAAGAGTAACTTCCCCCTTGGTAGGACTCTCCACTTCCATTTTCATTCCAGGCTCGATTGGGGGAGTCAAGATTTTGTTCTCCCCAATTGACACAGTTCAGTTAGTTCTGTTGTCTTGTTGCCTGTGTTTGAATTCCCTACCAGGGGTGAGTTTATAATAATTAGTGTAATTTGAGCTATTGATATTATTCCTCTGAATTAATTTTATCTGCTGAATTATGAAATTTGATGCCCCACATGGCTTAAAAACTATGATAAATTTCTTTATCCTCACTAACCACGTTTATGATCTAGTATGTACATGTATGCAAACATATGATCTATTTGATGATTTAATTAATGTTTATTTGCTACTAGAAACGTGCATTGGTATTTTTAATGATTATACTTATATTAATTAAGTGATAATTATGTCCACATGTAAAATCTCGGCCAGTTCCGGTTTCCAGCATGGTGGGACAATTAAAAAGGAATGAAGTGTATATTCATTATACCTAATCCCTTCTAAGTTAAATTTTTACCTCATGGTGATATTAGCTTAATAAATCACTGTCTTGCTTTAATTTAGATTTAGTCCAGATAATTCTGAGACTAGTTTAAGAGCTTGGAAAGTGAATAACACAGTGAGGCTGAGTTTAATATTAACACTGTCAGAAAAGAAGAAGAAAGATGTATGGCCCATGCTTGTAATTATTGTTGTAGATATATTTCCCTATTTACTAGGAATACATTTCAGTTCTACAGCAGGTGGCCTTACAAATGTAATAATTATATTTCACCCCTCACCACTTCTAAACTCTGCTGAATAAGATTAGCACATGTGTGGATTTAGATTTAAACTGGAGTGAGTGTTGTATATTTTATGTTAATACTGTGACAGATGGAAAGCCCATTGTCAACTATGATTGTATTTTGACATTTATCCCAGCACCCAGTATATTGATGGAGATATGTCAATCCCATTTATTTTCAAACAGTGTAAAGCACCTGTTATGAGTTCCTGGTCTTGGTAAACTCACTCCCTGTTTCTCATTCATTGTGATGTGAACCCATGTGGTTAAAATAAGAATATTGTGAAATATGACTGTGTATGTCTGTGTGTGTAAGCATGTTAACCCTTCAAAGGAGTACTAGTGTGCAGACATCAGAACAATTTACACTGAGGAATGTCCTTTCTTTTTGTGTGATGTAAACTCTTGTTCTTGAGAGTATTCATGAAACTGGTTTCCTAAATATTTCCCCATCAGGATTATGGACCATGTTCTGTATACATTCCCATTCTATACCAGTAGAATGTGAACACCTGTTACTATCCTACTCCATATATATGTGTGTGTAGTGTAACAGTTTAAAGACTGGAGGTATTGTTGTCTCCAGTTAGAACCTTCCTGACTGTTTGTATAAGGACTGTTCTATTGTTCTAGTTCCAGATTGTAGTCCAGGTGGAAGATCCATAAGTAAATCCATAAGTAGCTGCAGATGCCCGATTGTCTGGACTGGACCGGAAGATTCGGCCTGCCTGATGTGTCACCAAGGCTTAGTCAGAAGCTGACATAAGCTACAGCTAAGTGGACAAAGTTGACCACTAACCTTTATAACCGGATTATATCCACAGCCATTTAGTTATCATTTGAATTTTCAAAATAAATGTAGTTAATGTTCTTACAGTTTTCTGAAGTTTCATTTTAACTGTAATTGTGTCAGTGAACAAAAGCTACTGAACTTAAATACATTTAAATACACAAATTTAAGAACAGTAGGGAATAAGATGTGGGCAAACCCCAAATCCTCTGATTTAACCAGCAAGGCTGGGGGCAATATAAACCTTTATTAAGATTTAATGTTTGTAGTTCCCTCTGGACATTGCACATAGTGCATTCGCTAGTTAAAGCGAATTTACCCGCCACAAAACCCATGGTTTAAAGCTACAATGCCTTTGAGCATTCTGAGTTGAAGTAACACAACAGTGGGTCTGATAGAGCAACAGCGTTTTATCCCACACACTTCTTTCCAGCCCTCACATTTTCACATGAAACCTACCTTGGTAAACTGAGAATTGATCCATTTTGTGAATGTCTTCTTTTGGATATCCTCTCTCTCATCTTGAAAAACAGAAAAAGAAAGTAAACGCATATATTAATACCTCATTTGTTTCATGTTAATGGTTTGTATTTCATAAGTACTTTAGCCTAACTTTAATTCTATGAGTGTAAGTTACAGCCTGTGTGTGTATTTCTTCTTCTTCTTCTTCTTCTTCTTCTTCTTCTTCTTCTTCTTCTTCTTATCTTCTTCTTCTTCTTCTTCTTCTCCTTTTTCATTCTATCCTCCGAAAGTGCATGGGCTCTTAGCCAGCTCAAGCCAAGCGGTTCTACCTTTCGCTATTGCATGCAGCTCTTCCATCTTTTTATCTTCATCTTCTTTTTCCTTCCGCACGTGCCCTTAAATAAAGATTAGAACGTTGTGCGTATGTTAACAGCTTGACTGTGATATCTGCGAATTTCTCTCCAACACATCCGGTTTCTTATATAATATATCTATATATATATATATATATATATATATATATATATATATATATATATATATAATATATATATATATATATATAGAGAGAGAGAGAGAGAGAGAGAGAGAGAGAGAGAGAGAGATTCATACCGGGCAGCAGTTAGTGGAAAATGAGAGAGGGAAAGAGGGAGAAAGATGTCTTGCAAGAAGCATAAAAGACGAGAAGAAAGAGAAGGAACAGAGAGAGAGAGAGAGAGAGAGAGAATAGTGGGTGTGTATGTGTGCACATACAGAATTTGTAACAAACGACGTTGATACAAAAAGGCAACGGTAAAACTGCTATCTCACACAGCAGGGTAACGCATGCACAACAGACAGCTTGTGGTTCTCAATGAAAGCCACAGCTGTTACTGATGTAGGCCGAAGACGCGCTTGTAAGGGTGCGTGTTTGCGTTAGTCTGTGCACTGGAAGGGGAGGGGCTGGGTTTAAACACCCTATGCACGAGGGTTTAACTCCACAACTTGGCATATGCGGTTAACCTGCCACATATTGCATATCCTAGTCAAATATTTGGGGAAATCCCAGAATCACGGAGGAAAGTGGGAACTCAAAGTTGGGTTTAGATACAAAACACTCAGAATTGGATTTAGATGTAAAACACTTAAGAATAGAATGCCAGGGCACTTCTGAATCATTCAAATAGGACGAGAACTGAATTCATAGGTAGTGAGAGAGGTACAGCAAACAAGCAGACATTGAAGCATGTTATTTGAGTTCTTTTCATTCTCATTTGTTTCCCTTCTTCGTAGCTTCACTTTTTACTTGCACCTACACCTCCTCCCCCACCCGTTTAATTGTTGTTGTTATTATCATTCGTTATCTTCTACTTTTTCTCTTCTTCTTCCTTTGCTTCTTTTTTCTTCTTCTTCTTCTTCTTCTTCTTCTTCTTCTTCTTCTTCTTCTTCTTCTTCTTCTACTACTACTACTACTATTACTTTTTTTTCTTCTGCTTCTTCTTCCTTCTTTTTTGTCTTCGTTACCTCCCTTACGTCCTCCTTCCCTTCTTCCTTCTTCTTCTTTTTCTCTTCCTTCTCCTCCCCTTTGCTCTTCTTCTACTTCTTTTCCGACTAATTCACTTCGTCCTCCTTCTACTCCTCCGCCTTCTACTTCTCATTATATCCATCTACTTCTCCTTCTCCTCTATCTAATTCTCCGTCTATCACTCTGAATTCCTCTTCTTCTCTTCCTCGCCTTCACTCTAAGAGTAAAAAGTTTAAAAAAATAGTAAAGGACCCTTTTCCACGCCTTTAGGCGTATAGGGCATATAGGACTAAACCTGTATTTTTATAGACCAATCGGCACAAGATGAGTGATGTGGTCAGTATCACGCCGGCCGCCTCTATTTGCCGGGACTGCACCCGGTACCCACTCAAGGCTGGGTCGACCTGGGAGCCAGGGTCATTTTTGAAGGAAAGGCAGGCTCCGCCGGCGAGCGAACACACGACCTTCCGATCCGCGGCGCGCGTCTAGCCGCTCTGCCACGGCGACTCTCATACTCTAAGAGTAAGCTGACAGAAAACAATTCACGGCACGCCAGATATCAACGTTATCATGTGATATTGGATTTTGCAGCTACAATTATCTATGTGGTGAGGTAATCGGCCTTAGATGCCTCTTAAGACATGCATGGTGGGTTAAAATTGCAGTGTTCTTTGCTTCTCATACAGAGGACGATAACAGAAGGGCCCTGTACTGCCAATAAATTCTAGATACAAAGAAAGCATAAGACCGCACCTAAGTACTATATACAACCTAAAATGTTACTAGAAATCTCAACAGGGAGAATGGGGGGTGGGGGGGGGGCACCCGTAGACATCCGAACGTTTTGACAAAAGTCTTCAGTAACTTAGACTAAAGACACAACCGTTGTGTCTAGAAAACTTAGTGGAGACAACAAAAGAAATTGTGCACATCCACGGTCAACATTAAAGTTAGACATTTTCCAGAAAAGGAGTTCTACAGTATTTTATTGAGGAAGATGACGAGAGAAGAATCTTGAATCCTTTTGTGGTGGCGTGCAATGGTCTTTTAATACATGTCGGCGATTGCGTGACATGGAGAAGCATAGTCGTCCTCACCAGCAGGCAAGGTATTTGATAATGATGCTGATCTGCAAGTGTGGCTTTATTGATTGCAACTGATTGTGTCCACTCATCTGCCAAGACGCAACATTCCAGGATTAACTAACTACTGGCAGCAAGAACTGGAGACACCTTACAGGACAGTCATCAATAAACAGCGAGTGTCAAAATATCAGTTACTACTGTTACTATTGATGCCAAAGGTTAAAGTCGAGATACAGCCTGTTTCCAGCTAGTTCTGCTGCAGCTGGTACTGTTGCCGCTGGTACTGCTGCAGCTGGTAGTGCTGGAGCTGCTACTGTTGCCGCTGGTACTGCTGCAGCTGGTAGTGCTGGAGCTGGTACTGTTGCCGCTGGTACTGCTGCAGCTGGTAGTGCTGGAGCTGGTACTGCTGCCGCTGGTACTTTTAGTAATGAATGCACTATGTCTGTAGCAGCTTATATAATTCTAACGCTGCTTTTGCTCCTTCTGTTATTTCAAATAATACTTATGTTACTACTACTGCTGCTGCTGCTGCAACTACTACTACTACTGCTGCTGCTGCAACTACTACTACTACTTCTACTACTGCTACTACTACTGCTACTACTACTACTACTACTACTGCTACTACTACTACTACTGCTACTACTACTGCTACTACTACTACTACTACTACTACTACTACTACTACTACTACTACTACTACTACTACTACTACTACTGCTGCTACCACTACTACTGCTGCTACCACTACTACTGCTGCTACCACTACTACTGCTGCTACCACTACTACTACTACTACTACTACTACTACTACTACTACTACTACTACTACTACTACTACTACTACTACTACTACTACTACTACTACTACTACTACTACTACTACTACTACTACTACTAATAATAATAATAAAAGTAATAATAAAAATAATAATAATAATAATAATAATAATAATAATAATGCTTCTACTGCCATTTCTACTAGTGCCCCTGCCGCTACTACGACTACAACTAATATTACACTACTTCCAAAACTACCACCCACCACTACTACCACCACCGCTACTACCACCACAATCACTACCCCTACTACTACCACCACCACTAACACCACAACAACTAGTATAACAACAACAACTACACCAACTACTACTACTCCTCCTACTGCTACTAATGTTACTACTACTATTACTATTACTACTAGAGAGGGGCGATAGAGCAAAGGGTAGCATGTTTTCAGTGTAGTCAATAGGCCTGAATCTCAATTAACAGATTGTTTAAACAAAAATGAACATATCGTGACAACTTCTCGAGGCAACAGAAATGTGGTTCTACAGAAGAATACTTACATACCATTTGACAGCGATGTGTCTAGAAAGAGATCAGCGCCTCGAAGACAGCCTCGCGGATATCCGAAAGTGACAATGTTTTTGACCAATTTACTGGTCCTGGAAAATCTCCGTATGGGTTCCTGGGCTCTATTGTGGGGGAAAAACAAGAACAGTCTCACTTCGTCCCTACAAGCATGTCGTAGTAGTGGGCTAACTGGGGCATCCTTCAAATTCGAAGTACATTTGTCTGAGAGAAAAGGAACTAAGAGTCTGGTAGGTAGGTAGTTGTAATCAACCAGGACATCACACAAGCGATAGAAACCTGGTGACACACAAAGTGTCACCATTCGGATGGGGATCACCCGTGGAGATGTCCCAGAAACCCGTTTCAGCCGTTAGGCCATATCTATGGCTAGGCTATATCTATGCCGCGGCTATATTCAGGGCCCCTGGCAGAAGCCAAGGTGGGGCTTCAAATAACAAAAACAAATCGCATCCCACATAGGGACGCCTAGTTAAGTGACGAACCAAAGAGTCTTCAGTCTAATAAGCAAGATGTGTGAAACGGATGTGCATGCAACGCTAAGGTTCTGGAAGAAGATAAAACCATAATTTTCTACAGCGTCTACAGCCGGTGGATGCGAAGGGAAAAGGAGAAGAGAGGTTGGAGAAGAAAGAAGCCTATACACGTGACAGCTGGAGAGATTTGTGAAAAGAGACTTGAAGGAAAACAACGCGAGAAGATAGTTAACAGCTTTTTGTCATAAAATGGTAGAGTGGCTGCATACGAACTGATACATGCTACAGAAAATCATGATCGCCCTCTTCAGTCGTTGTTGCTGATGAATGAGCATAGCCTACTCTACTATGGAAACACCCTAATGCAGTGTTTTCCAAACCTTTTTTAGTCGTGGCGCCTTTTTTTTATTAAAAAAAATTTCGCGCCGCCCTAACCTAAATAAAAGTCTGACTATTCGTGTCTTGGTTAAATTAATTATGCAACTTTTACAACATTGTGAAGAGGTCGCGGCTCCCCGGGGCGTCGCGGCGCATAGTTTTAAAATCACTGCCCTAATATTTGAATTCCAAGGGACGCAACCCAGTTTTTACAGACCTGGTAACATGATAGTTATGCTTAGGCTTCCATTGGGAATCGCCGTGGTGAAGCGGCTAGACGCTTGCCTGCAGTTCGAAAGGCCATAAGTTCAGGTCCTGACGGAGCCAGACTTTTATCGAAAATGACTTTGGCTCCTAGGTCGACCCAGCCTTGAATGGGTACTAAGTACATTTCTGGGAAGTAAAGGCGGCCGGTGTGGAGCTGACCTCATCACCCACCAAGTGCTGATTGGTCAACAAAATATAGATCTAGCCTTATGTGCCTAATACGCCCAAGGACGTGGAAAGGGTCCACCACGTTTTACTCTGAACTGGTAAATTTACGTATCCTTCACATGAAGCTGCAGAATCAACCCCAGCAGCTTTTGGCTTTTTTGATTTCACTGTTAAATTTTCACGCTTACTATTTTGCCATTACTACTAAACGCTTTGGCTTCGATGATAGTTTTTTTTTTTTTTGGGGGGGTGGGGGGGGGGGGGAGATAGTAATCTGGTAGTTTCCCATGAACATCAAAATCTGTTCTTGAATTAAAAGAAAACGAAAATAATGTCCACAGATAAAACCGGCTGTCATTGAAAAATAACAATAAATGGTAAAGAAATTGAAAATGTCACAAACTTTGAAAATCTAGACTCTATATAAAAATAGCAACGGAGACTGTATGACAGAAATTGAAAGAAGGATGGCCATAACAATGCAAAGATTAAACAGCGTTAAAAGTCTATGGTTAAGCACCAGCAAGGAGATCAACATTAGAATTTTGAGAGTATGCATGTTCCCTGTGGCTACATACGGATGTGAGTCGTGGACTATCTCTCAGTCATTAAGAAAGAGAATAGGGGCTTTTACGCTGAAATGCTCAAGAAAAATTCTCAGAAAAGCTTGGGCAAAGAAGAGGAGAAATACTGACATCTTGTAAGATCTAAACATCAAGGAAGATTGGATAATAAAAAGCATTCTGTCTCGAAAGCTGAAACGTTTTGGTCATATCAAGCGCCACGACAGATTGGAAAAAAATTATAGCAGAAGGCATGGTACCAGGAAGGAGGGGCGGGGGCCGACCAACAACAAAATGGGCACAGGATATAAGTGACTCCTTGAGTATGAAAGTACATGAGGCG